CTGGGAAAGCATGCCAGGTCCTACCCTCCCTACGGCACAGGGCGTGGCCTGCGAGGTTCCGACAGGACAGGGGACAGTCAGGGCATCCCATCCTCAGGACTCTAAGCACTTTCTCTGGCCAAGGAGTCCCCACATGAGTAGGTGGTGACTGCAGGGACTGCTGGTTGTGGACCATCTGCTCTGGGAGGTGCCAGTGCCCCCCAAGAACGTGAAGCCGCTGCTCTTGCCACAGATGGGAAAGCTGACCCTCATGAATGGTGCTGGAGCTGGTGTGGCTGCCTCCCATGGAGGGTTTTATTTAGAGGTCAGAGCTGTGTGGTTGCCGAGTGAACCAAGTGGTTGTGTGAAAAGTACCGCAGCCCTCCTAGCACTCTGCCCCTGTTCCTTCTCTCCAGTGACACTTCCAAAGCCCCGAGTCCTTCTGGGAAGTCTCTGGTTGGCACACTGAGGACTGGAGAGCAGCTGTACTTTTGAAACTTGTTAAGTTCATCACTTCGTTGCTCAGGAAAAAAGGATAGACCTGGGGCAGCTTCCCTTTAAACATCTAAAATGTTGGCAGTCCTGTGCTAACCCAGACTTAACTATGGGCTGCACTTAAGCATCTTTTTCTTTGGCTCCAAGGTTGGGGCTGTGGAAGGAGAGGCATTAAAATGCAGAATACCTGCCTGCTGCCCTGCCCACCCTCCATCCTACCCGGCTGCCCCTCGGCCCTGGCTCCCCTCACTTGCGGGAGCAGCTGGGCATGCGCAGGGCGGTGGAGCCCGGTGGACATGGATGATCACAGCGCAACAGGGAACGGGATCCAAGCGGAAGTAAATTTCAGGAGTGTGAGTCATGTTTCCAGTTTCGTGAGCCAAGCTGAATCTCAAATGAGAGCTGATGTTAGGCCAGCAGGAGCAGAAGAGGTGGGGGTGGCAGGGCTGTGCGCTGTGCGTCACTTATCCCCTGCTGCTCGGGGCCGAGCGTGGGCTGCCCTGCACTGTTCTCCTCGCTGGAGGTGAGGGAGCCTCTGATGGGCGGCATGGGCTGGCTCCCTTTGGCAGGCTCTGTCACGCCCGCCCGTACTGTGCTGGACAAATCGCACTGGGTAATGCTTATGGGCAGCACCGAGGGAAGTCATTTGCTAAAGGAGCAAACCTCAGGTACGGGAGGCTGGGTGGGCACGCTGGCTTCCCGGTGAGCTGCTGTGGTGTGGCGTGCAGGCCCACACCTGTCCTCCCTGGGGGCTGCCCAGTGCAGTGCCTGGAGCCTGGAGCCTGCTGTTTGCTGAATGACTAAATGAATCTGTGAGTGAATAGTGCTAACTGAAGGCCTGGAAGCTCAAACATTCTAAGATTCTCACACTAAAATCTCTTAAAAATTCAAGCTCTTGCCACTGACCAATTCGTTTTAGCCAATATCTCAAAGTAATGAAGTTCCAACTCACACACAAAAAAAGTTTAGACTCTCTTCAAACTCATTATACTGAAGTTTGACCTCTCACACTCAGCATGGCTTCTCATTTACTTTGCCTATGAGCAGAAGCTGTGAAGTACATTAAAAACACAACTTTAATTTGCCTTTAAAAAACCCCAGATTGTCATGCAAACTGTTATCTCCTTCAGGGAAGGTTTCTTGTCCTGAAGGCTATGGCCACTGAGGGCTGTGGCAGGTGCCTCTCCATCCCCGCACCTGTGGCTTCCCAGCCACCTTCTAGTGGCCCTGTAGCAGGACCCACCTCGTTAATGCACCCGCTTCAGGCGCTTCCCACCCCGTGTCCGAGTGATGCCCCTTCTCCAGCCTGTGCCCTCTCCGTTAGCCAAAGGGCAGAGCTGGAGGGGAACCCGGCCTCCGGTCATCTCCTTGAACAGAACAATCGTTTGCAAACCTTACCACCTCCTGGGGAGGTTGGGGTAGAGGAAGAGGTCAGAGCTCAGAAAGGGAACAGATGAGGAATGTGGTGGAGCAGTCCAGGGTCATAGTTATAGTTGGGCTCTGAAACGAAATCCTCTAGCTTTATTAATTGAGGTAAAATTCGCATAAAATTCAAGTGCACAATTCAGTGGCATTTAGTACATTCACAGTGTTGTGCAATTACCACATCCATCTAGTTCCAAAACATTTCATCACCCCCAAAGAAAACCCTGTGCCATTAAACAGTTCTCCCCCGACCCATGGCAACCACCAATTTCCTTCCTATTTCCATGGATTCCCTGTCCTGGACATGTCATATAAATGGGGTTTTACAGTGTGTGGTGGGCTGTGTCTGGCTTGGCTCACTTGGCATGTGCTGAGGTTCGTGCATGTTGAAGCATGGGCAGCAGTTCCTCCGCTCAGTGACAGGCATTGCGTCGTGCACCCACCGTGCAGATGCGCCTCGCGGTCTGCCCACTCACCCCTGGTGGACGCCTCCTCCTTTTGACTGTCGTGGGCAGTGCTGCTATGAGAATTCTTGTACAAGTGTTTACTTGAACACCTATTTTCAGTTCTCCTGGATATGTTCCCAGGAGTGGAATTTCAGGGTCACCTGGTAACTCTACGTTTAAGTTTTCGAGGCCCCACCAAACGGTGTCGCACAGCGGCTGCACCATTACACCTCCCCACCAGATGGCCTCGTTGGGAATCCAGCCCTGCCACTTACCAGATGCATGACCTTGGGCAGGTGACTTCTGCTCTCTGTGCCTCAGTTTCCTCATCTGTTTCATAGGAACAATAATGTTATTTACCCAATGGAGTTGTGAGGCTTAAATGAGTCGACACTTGCAAAGAGCATAGAGCAGTGCCTGGTATGTAACAAGCTACATAAATATTGCTGCTGCTACTATTATTGAGGGACAATGAGGGTCATGGCAGATGAAAGATTGAGAAGCATTGGGCCTAAAAGAGGCTGCACAGGTGATATAAGAAGAATTAATCGAGCCCTAATCCAGACAGGTGGGGCTGGGCACGGAGGACTTCCCTCCCATTGAGGAATCCATCTTCTTGTTCAGTGATGAGCACTGTCCCTCAGCTCATGGCCCCGGTGGTCTTCGTGGGCAGACCGCTCACTGCTCAGAACAGGGAGTCCCGGTCCCCCTAGCGGCCAGCTCACCCCCTGCAGCTCTCCAGCCAGCAAAAGGACAGGAGCACATCCCACCACAGGAAAGCTCCACACAGAAACTTCTAGAAAGCAAGAAAGGGAAGTCTCTTTCTCTCTTTTCAGTGATGTTCAGAAAAGGCACACCTGGTTGCTTTTCAGTCCAGTCTTCTGAATTATCACCAAATATTCTGCCAAATACTATCCTCTCAACTTATAAAATTAATCCTTATGCTTATGATTCATGTACATCTAACTCATCCAACAGTTTTGTAAAAGCTGTTTGAACCCCAAGAATCCTTTCAGAAGTCTTCCTTAAAGACATAGAAACAAGAAGATACTTTGCTCCCCTTTCTTCTCTGGCTGGAAATCTCAACTTGTAGGTGCCCTATTACCAACATTTCAGCTCAGGGTGAGCCAGTGAAAAAATACAGTTGCCACAGTGGCACCCCGCACTCGTAGGGCACTTCATACCGTGCGGTCCCTGTCTAGCCAGGTCTCTGCCCCGCCTGGAAAGGCTGGTGGGTAAGTGCTGTTGTCTCTGTCATTGGAGAAGACACTGAGGCTCGGGCGGGCGAGGTGGCCGGACATGGAGCAGCCCGGACAGGAGCGCTGGGCTGCTGCAAACTCCCAGCAGCTGCCATGTGGGTCGGGCATGGCTCCCAATGACAGGGGCTGAGCAGGAAATGCTCTGGCCCAGCTGGTGGAGTCCTGCCGTGTGCCCAGCGGGCACGCAGGGCCCTGCCCTGAGGTAAGCATCCTCCAGCCTTACAGTTACAGGGCCTCTGACAGCCGGGCCTCCTCGCTCCAGGAAACACTAGAGGAAGCAAAGGAGCAAATGGGAAGGCTCGTCACTCCTTGATCTGGTGTATTCCACTCAGCCAAGGGGCCTGGCATTGAAAACAGGCAGGAGAGGGAGGAGGGGAGAGCCCAGAGAGCAGACCTGTGAATGCCAGGAGTCCTCTGGCAGCAAAGGCTCTGTACCCAGGCGGCAGCGAAGTGGACCTGTGGGTCTTCCAGGGGCCGGGAGGGAACCCACTAGGGTCTGGCATTATTGGAGGACCAGCACGCCTCCCCTGCCAGAGAGAACGGGCCTGCCCGGCTGCTCCATCTGCAGTGAGGAAGGGCGTGGACTGGCTCGCCTGCAGCTGGGACTGCAAAAGAGGAATGCGTGTGGCTCGGAAGAAGAGGGCAGCTCAGACCCCCAGCCGCATGGCCAGGAGGAGGCCCCCAGGACAGGCGCTCTGCCTGCTGGTGGCAAGCTCTCCCTGCGAGATCATGCTGGTGACCAGCAGCTGTGGTGCCAGCAGAAGGCATTGCTGCCACCATCTCTACCCTCCCGGAACCACCGGTGGCCCTTGAAAATCAACTCCCCACCCCTGGCAGAAGCAGAGGATTAGAGTGGTTGTCTGCGTGGCACAGAGATGACACATGGTCTATATGGCACATTGTCTGTGCTTCCCACGGCCCGCAGGGCTGCTGACAGTTACTATGGCACGCCTCGGCTCTCTGGGCAGCCCGAGTCCCTGGGGCCGGTCTTGGGATTCCAGATGACTGCAATGGGCCTTCCAACATGGCCATTTCCTCGGACATGAGGAAGATGGAGGGGCGCTGGCACTGGCCCCTGAGCCTGTCTGCTCTCAGAGTCCCACCCATGAGCCCAGGGCCACCTCCCACCCTCTGAGCCACTGTCTCCAGGGCTTGGCCCGGGATCACATTCATAAGCAGCTTCCTCCCAGGGTTTTGGATGCGCTTGGTCTGATGGGGCCAAGGATGCCTTACCCACCGCCTTTGGTGGCTGTAAGAGAAGCAGCTGCCAGCAGGAGTCCCGCAGTTCCTCCCGTTCTCCTGGGGTTGGGAGGTCTTGTCAGAGCCAGTGGTACTTCTCCTGCAGGCGGCAAGCATGCGTGCCCTTCACTCACTGCCTTTCTCTTTTATTCTCTAGGACACACAAGACCAGCCACTGCTACCGCATCACCTACCGCCACATGGAGCGGACTCTGTCCCAGAGGGAGGTGACTCGCATCCACCAGGCCGTGCAGGAGGCTGCGGTGCAGCTGCTGGCCGTGGAGGGCAGGTTTTGATGGCGCGGCCGCACCGGGAATACGGCCCTCAGGTCTCTCGGATTCACTGAAGAAAAAAAAGGATATTGTTTTGATAAAAGCATCGGTTTTAGGACTTTCAGACAATAAAGTTTCGCTCCTGAAAAACTGTTGACACTGCATTTGTCTTTTGTTTTGGGAGAGGCGAGAAAGGAGCAGAGCGAGAGCAGCCCCTTTCCTTCGGGAAGGCGTGGCTGGGCACTGAGGCGCCTGGGCCTGGGCTCCGTTGCCTGCCAACACCAGGAGGAAGTCTGGCGGACGGGCTCCCCCAGGTAACGGCAGAGCCAGAGGACATCAGGACTCCGGGCACTGGGAGCTTTTCTGAATCAGCTTCCGTTCCTTTCTTCCTTCTCTCCCTTTTCTTCTCACAAAGGGCAGGCCTCAGGCAGGGCACCGATGAAATGCCAGGCCCCCCTCGAAAGTGAGGGAGTCACAGCTCCGAGCCGGCGACATATTCACATGCTTTTCATAACCCGTGGCTTGGAGTCATCAGGCCTCTGGCCCTGGCTGAGGAAAGGCAGGAGCGCACCCAGCGGCCTGCAGCCCCACACAGGCCTGTCCTCGCCCCCCTGAAAGTTTCATTTCCTCACGGGAGGCCTCCGCTTCCAGGAGCGACCTTTATGGAAGGATGTGGGCTTTGATGTTTCCCTTTCTGGCCCAGACACTTTGTAGTCCGCCTGCTCCACTCCTGAGCAGTTCTAATCATCGGCTCCCTCCCTGGCCTATGCAGAGCCGCGAGGGCTGCATAAATATTTGATGAGGGGTGGCCATTAGCAGCCAGCAGGGTGGGGGCGGCAGCTGCTTCCAAAGGGAAGGAATGGGCCTGAATGTCATTTCGGGTGATCTCTACTTGGGTTTTTCCCTTGGGTTGTCATGGGAATTAGGGCAGCCGTATCCCAAGTCCCACACCCAAGCCTGGATCCAAACCGTTTGGGGCCCACTGGACGCAGCTCCTCGAGTGGGCGGGTCTGCATGGGAACCAGGGTCATTCGTGTCTCTTCTTCCGCAGTCTTTGCTGGCGTGGCCGGCCATCCCTGACCCAGTTGTGGCCGTGTCTCCGGAGACCTCTGTGTCCAAGGCCAGGTAGGCTTGTGTTAATATTCTCTAACAGAATGAGCCAGGGTGACATCCAGGGTCAAACACTATGCTGTGCCAGCCGGGATGCCGGGGCAGGGCAGGCTAACACCGGGGAGTTCACCGGGCGCTTTCCGGGGCAATCCTCTCAACACTCCATGCTGTAGAGCCAACTGTGGTCTCAGTTTCACAGCTGAGGACTCAGCCTGAAGAAGCAGGGGACTTGAGCAGGAGCACCCCCGCGTGGCGGCCTCCCATTCAGGACTCCGGTCTCGGTGCGCATGGGTGCTTCTAGGGCTGCGCCCGGCACTCATGCCCAAAGTGGCCTGCCCAACCAGCGAGCCCAAGGAACACCCAGCTCTTGACTTTTTCATGTCTTCCCCACAGGACAGTCAGAATGAAAACGAAAAACATGAGAAAGGTCATTTAATCCATCACTTTGCAGCCCAAGGACATCCAACTCTTCAAGCAGAGCAGGGTGGACAGCAGCATCACTGGGGTCCCCTGTGGTCGCTCAGCCCCTCCTCTGTGTGGGGACGATGGCCACGCCTGCCCAGCGTGGGGTGAGGACAGAGTGGGACATTGTAGGGACTGCACTGGGCAGGGAACCCAGAACCTACAGAGCAGCAGCAGGTGACGGCTACTCTGAGGATTGTTGCAGGTGGAGAAGGCAGAGCGTGAACTGCAGACCTCAGCCGGGTCCCGGAGAGCAGCCACAGCTCCCATCCTCACACAGGACACTAAGCCCAGAGCAGCAAAACACCTGACTGAGGCCACAGATACCTTCTGCAGAGCTGGTCCTGTCACAGCGACTGCATTAGACACCTGAGCATGTCTTTTGGTGCCAGGCCCACTAAGCCTGGTCTCTCGTGAGCGTCCAGAAGGTGCAGCTGAGGTTGCAGCTACGTCCTGGAGCTGAGGTTGTCGTAGCAATAAATTTTGTGTCCAGCTGCAGCCTCGGGGGTGGGCGGGGCCTGTGGGCTCCATGGCCATTCTCACGTGTGTCCCCTGCTGCCTCCCTCCCTGCTGAGGGGGACCCCGATACACTGATCCCTGAGCTGTGCCCTCTGGCTTGTCAGCCCTAGAAGCCGTCTGCACAGCTCACCCCTGGCCAGTGATGGTCCAGCATCAGGACATGGAAGCTAGTGAGTGAACTCAAAGAGCATATGGCGGCCTCGAAATGCCCACAGGGCAGGCTTTACCCACCCAGACCCCTCAGCGGGCACCTTGTGTCCTCTGTCCCCACGCCAGGAGCTCTCCAGTCTCCACTCTGGCCATGATCACTGAAATAGAGCTTAGCAACTACCAGCAGGGCCATCTGCCCTCTCCCGTCCACGGCACGTACAGGCAGACCTCAGAGACATTTCAGGTCCAGTCCCAGCCACCACTGTAAGGCGAATACCGCAATCAAGTGAATGTCGCAAAAAAGCAAATACAGTATCGCAATAAAGTGATTCACGGAAATATTTGGTTTCCCAGTGTATATAAAAATTATGTTTAAACTATACTGTCATCTATTAAGTATAAGCAATGGAATAGGTCTAAAAAACAAAGTGCATACCTTAATTTAAAAACGCTTTATTGTGCCTGGCTGGTGTGGCTCAGTGGTTGAGTGTGGGCCCATGCACTAAGAGGTCACTGGTCGAATCCCAGGTTGGGTCACATGCTGGGGTTGTGGGTGTGCAGGAGGCACCAACTGATGTCTCTCATCAATGTTTCTCTCCCTCTCCCTTTCCTTTCTCTCTAAAACAGTGGTTCTCAACCTTCCTAATGCCGCGACCCTTTAATACAGTTCCTCATGTTGTGGTGACCCCCAATTT